CCCCCCCCCCCCCCCCCCCCCCCCCTCCCTGCCGCAACCACGAAAGGTAGGTGGAGATATCTGGTGCGCAGCTCTGCTCCTGTCGGCGTGGCTGCTGGAAAACCCCCAACTCGTCCAGGGTACCACAGTGCTCGAGCTCGGAAGTGGGCTCGGCCTGTGCGGCATCGTGGCGGGATACCTCTCGAAGAGCGTGACCCTCACAGGTGTAGCGCAGCTTCGCTGACCCGCTCGAGTGCCATCTGTTTCTCGCAAACCGCCGTCCAGAGGTTGCAGACGCCCTCCCTTGAGAGATCATCGATGGATGGCCCGGTCTTTTGGTTTCTCGCAGTATAACCGCAGAACGGAAATGCCATCGGTATCGCTCAAGCCCTCCCTTGCGTGTTACTGAGTAGACGGCCCGGTTGGAGGCTGTTTGGCTGGATCTTAAAACGGGGCCTTGATACGGTGCATGTCCGTCTAAGGTCACAGCTGCAGATATTTGCTCGCCTTTGCCCATGCGCGAATGCGTAGGGTCGTGTATTCAGCCCAAGCGGTCATCATGGTTGAGGCCAGGGCTGCGCTAAAGTCGACTGTCCTAGGTGTCGGCGGCAGGGCTCATGTTCCAATTTGCATACAGCTGTGATCGCCTGACCTACACCCCCGCTGCGCAGCGGTAGCACTATTTTTCAGCGCCCACTGTTTTGTCTTCAAGAATTACTCGTTTGTTCCATACATGTAAGCGTCGACCGGTCAAAGCACCTCAAATCAACCGATTTTCCCCGTAAGAAACCTTTAGCATCAGCGTGGTTGAGGCCCCGAAAGTGTCGAGGAAAGCCCGAGAATGAGAAAATGGCAATTCTTCTATTTCTCGAAATCGGCCTGCAACCTCTGGGCTGCGCCCCGGTAATCTGCGCTTGTTAGCACATACCTCCGGCACTGACGAACTTGTCGTGAAGACTAGGCAAAAGGCAACACGAATATGGTAGCCTCGACGAATGGTTTTGCTGGGCTTCTGACTCGCTTTATGTTTGTTTGTCGCCACGGTACCGTCTTATTGTTACATTATTGTTATACTATTGTTATATTATTGTTATATTATTGTTATATTATTGTTATATTATTGTTATTATTGTTATATTATTGTTATATTATTGTTATATTATTGTTGTATTATTGTTATAGACTATATTTGTTCGTTGGGATCGTCTCTAACTCAGACTACGTTGACGAGCTGCTAGTGAACCTGGAGCACAACGTCGACATCAACCGCGCGCCGCGCATCGTTGCGGTCGAGTGGCGAGGAAACGAGACCAGTCAAGGAGCCCCCTCTGAGTCACAAGAACGGCAGCAGCAGCAGCAGCAGCAGCAGCAGCAGCATCAACAACAAGAACAGCGAGGACGACAGCGACCAAGCCGGGAGAAGAGCCTCTTGGAGGTGCGGCCGCTCTCGCCCTCTCGCGTTCGCGTCCGCAAGCTGGATTGGACCGCGTATGACCACGAGGCCACGGAAGAATGGGAAGAAGGAGGGGAGGGTCTTCGGGGTTGTTGGTGGGATGATCCGGGCCCTGGCGACGACCGGCCAGGTAGGAGGTGATGCCGTTCCTTCGGATCTATTTTCCTCATGCTTCGATTCATACGATATGCGATCAAGACTCCTCTTTTCTCCGAACGCTGCTGAATGTTTGTCTCCTTTCCTCGGCTATGGCTCTGCTACGCCCCTGGCTCGAAGAAGGGAAGCAGGAAGACCGTGGAGGCGCCGAAAAACGAGCAACGACGACGACGACACCATCAACACCGGAAGACGCAGGCGCAACGCTTCGCTGCGACGTGGCCATCGGCTCCGCGCTAGTCTACAGCCCGCACCATGCGTGTGTCGCAGACGTTCTGTCCCGAGCGTTCGCGTCGGGAGGGTGCCGCGCTGGGTACATCCTTCAGCTCTCGACCAGGCAAGCAAGAGGCCCTCTTTGCTTAGTTAGCCTGCGGTAGTACAGTCCGCAGCAGCAGCACCAACTGACCCCCACCCGTCACGGTTGTACGTATGTGCGTGCATATTTTTGTTTGTTTTGTTTTTCTCCCATCATTGGACTCTGTCGTCTGCCCCTCTGGCCCCTGTCCTCCACTTCTACTAGCAAGACGACCCAACCGGGGTCACATAGGAGGGGGGGGTCGGACCCCCTCCTGCGGTTCATGCCTGAGGTATTTTCATCGCGAGAAGGGTACAGCAATCCCTTCCCTCGCGACTTACGAAGTCGATTATGGTTTACTAACAACGAGCTTTGCAGCGCTTCGCTTTCATCCTAGACCAGGATTTATTCAGTGAGACACTCTCTCTGCCGGGACTCGAACCCATGACCTGGCCCTTAGCAGGCTGCGAGGCTACCCACTAGACCACCGGGGCGACCGGTCGTGCATATGTTACGTTATGTTCTCTGAAGAGGTTACTGCACGAGAGAGAGTTTTGGAGATTTTTGTGCAAGAGTTTTTTTTTTAGATTTTTGTGCCAGAAGCGTGTTTTGTTCTTGGTGCCCTGCCCGATGATAGCGTCGGCGTTTTTCTCCTTCCATGTGTCCAACTCTCGACGACCGCGCCCGTGTCTCTCCCCCTCCTTGCATGGAAAATCGTCGGCTGCGCGGGACGATGATCTGGTGTCCGCGCGTGCGCACACAACCTCCACAGGCCCGGATTCGACGACTTTCTGCACAGGCTGGGGTCTTGCGGCTTACGCTACCGTCTTCGGAGAATGTCCGACATCCTTCCGGGAGACCTTTTGGAAGAAATTCGCCGAAGTGCTTCCATCGATATCGTTGGCGGCCCCGTGGCGTCGTCTCGAACCCCTTCTTGCGTGAACGCGGCCCGAGATAGTGTCGGCGGCGCCAAGGAAGATTGTGGTGGCGGTACGGGTGTAGACGGAGGAGAATCGCCGTCGCGGTCTGTTGTTGCCGCCGCCACCGCCGACGCCGCCGCAAGTACGTGCACCCGCTTCGACGAGTTCGTTATGTGCGAGATCTTCCGCGCCACTGAGGAACAGCAGCAGAGGCGAAATTCATGACATATTTTTCCATGCGAAAAAAAAAACAAGCCGCGCTCTTTCAGCTTCTGGCCGCGGTGGTCTCGTATCCTTTGAGAATACCGTTGGTTGTTTTCAGGTTCAAGACAACGCAGCACCCGAAGGAAGGAACAGGCTCTGCGAGAAGACCGTGGAGGAAATGACAGCATGGTGTGCACGGTCGTTGTGTCACATCGGGCTGTGTGTAGCGTTTTGTTCCGCTTGCTGTATCTGGCACCATGATATGTCTAGCGCTTGCGCATGGCGGCAAAGGCACGCGGCCTTGAGTGCTTCAATTGGTTTTTGGTTCCCAGCGGTGGTTCTGGTTCTGTTGTGCGGCCTATGATACATTTTGAGTATGCAAGCGCCCGGGCGGTCGCGAAATCCCCGGGACGAAATAAAGCCCATCAACGCGCCTTTTCAAAGCACGTGCATTCATTTGGTAGGTTGGGAATCTCTACGAATAAAACGATTTTCACTGAGCGGTTTAGACAAACAACATCGGCTGCTAGATCGGCTTAAGGGACGTGTGAATCCTTGATGGGAACAACACTTGGAACCGGGCAGTCGTACGATACACCCCCCGCCACGTCACGACCCCTTGGATGCACCAAATCAAACCAAGCTCTACCTGGGGAGAGAGACGACTTTTCAAAAACCCTTATGCACGTACCCGTCGCACACGCAGACGACTAGTTTTAAACATGAAAAGCTACAATGAACGAACACACGGGCGTACAAAAAACACCAACACCAAAAACAAAGTACAGCATTTGGCAGCTTGGTTTTTTCGAGCCCTATCTCATAGTTGGTTATACCGCTAAGGCCACCACGACAGGCTCTGCGCCGCTTTGCTGCCCTCCACCGCCACCTTCGGCTCCGGGTCTTGAGCCGCGGTTCTTGCCGCTCCTGCGAGACCCTCCTTGTGAGGCGTCAGCGCAAGCCTCAGCTCCTTGCGGCACGTCATGGCCCCCACGACAGAAATGGCCGCCGCTCGTACCTGGATTTTTTTTTCCGGAAACCGTAACACGTTTTTTTTTTTTCCATTCGCGACAGCAGTGGGTGCATGTGTTCCGCGGGATGAGTTCGTGTATCAAGAGTGGTGTCACCTAGAACAGGGCCGCATTGGAGGTCAAACTGGCAAAAATTGTGATTGCCCGTTTCGAAGCATCTACTTGAACCTCCGCCGCGGAAACAACGCCTTCGACACACGTTTTCTGACAAAACGAGTGAAGCACGCACAGAACCTCTCGGACTCAGCGCATTCGCTCGTTACCAAATACTGAGAACCAGGGCGCGACGTAACATCCTCCGAGAGGAAAAAAATACGCGCACACACATACACGGAACACGGAACACGGTGCATACATCACTGACGTTTTGTCATCGGGTAGCCGACTGGCGCGGTCGATCCGAAGACGACAAACACACACACACACCTGAGAGTACTTGGCATCGTCCGCCCCAAGTTCAACAGCCCGGACGACGTCTGCCAGGAGCGATCCAGTCAGCACGGGAGCGCGAGATTCCGCGGCTGCGGTCGTCCTGCTGACGATAGCCGACAAGGCGCCGTAAATCGGGACCCTCACGCTCCAGACCTTGAGCAAGATGGCCCCCGAGAGGACCCTGGTCAGGGACGCGGCGTGCGCGCGTTGGACGTTGCAGACGGCGTCGATTCGGGTATTAGTGGCATCGGCTTGACGAGCGACGGCGGCGGCTGCTGCTGCTTCCGGGACGCGAGGCCAAGCCGCCGCGAGACAGGCCACCGCGCGAGCCTGCATGATCGGGTCTTCTTTGTTACCGCCACCGCCAGAGGTGGTCCCCGCCGCCGCCCCGTCCAGCCCGGCCAGGTCGAGGAGGGTGGGCGCTACCAGGTCGTACACGCAGCACTCCGGGAAGGCGTCGAGGAGCGCCGCCAGGGACGACGCCGCGGCTCGACCGAATTTGGTGTCCTTCCTGGCGTTTACAATAAAGCGGGTGTGGGAACACACATTGCAATAATTCAGAGATGATAAAATGTTGACGTGAACACACATTACTCTTGATGGGGATCCTATACTCCGAGTGCAGGAAACGGGCTTGCTGCCTTTTTTGAGACTAGACGCGGCGGGATATCAGCAGGCCAAACAAGAACAGGTGCCCCTTTGTAGAAAAGGGAACAATAAAAACATGTCATCGTCGACATGATCAATCAAACCCTCGAACATCTTGGTCTTCCGCATGATTCGTGTTCACGCTCTCAGACCTCAAGCTGGGCACACAAGACAACACCAAATCATATACACCCTTACCGCCGCAGCTGGGACAGCATCAGCTCCACAACATCCCCGAAAGGAGTCGGCGAATCGTCCTCCATGCCCAGCGATGCCAGCCCCGCCTCCAGCGCGGCGTCCTTCCGCGGCTGATCGTCTTCTCTCTGGGCCTGGACCGCCTGTCCCGGCGCAGCCGCCGCTAGTCCCGCCGCGTCTCTGTCGAGATCGCCGACCTTATCGTTGTACTCGAAAGCGGGTCCGTCGTCTGTCCCACCCGGGATTCCGCCCGTCGCCTCGTTGTCGTCGTCTGACGAGGAGGCCGAGACATCGGCACCCCCGACAAGGCCGTCCGCGCGCGCCGTCGCGCCAGAAATCTCCTCCGGCTGTCCGCTAGAAGACGGCGCCGCCGCCGCCGCCGCGCCCTCGTGCTCCTCTTCGTCCTCGTGCTCACCGGTTCTGTTGCGCTTCACTCCCCGCGAAGAAGCCTCACCGCTGCCGTCGCTGCCGCCGCCGCCCTCTCCGCCCCACACGAACGGCTCGAGCGTGATGGCGGAGCCCTTGCCGGCGGCGCACAGCGCCACCACCGCCTCCAGGAGCTCCTCCTTGCCCTCCCACGTGCGCCCGGGGACCTGCGACAGCACGCGCCGGATCAGGCGGCGGCCGGAGCTCTCTTCCCCGAGCGAAGATCCGAGGACGGAGGCGAGGTCTTTGAGCCCCGAGCACCCCTGCCGCTTGGTCACCCGGCTCACGGAGGAGATTGCCCGGGATACTTCGGCCAGGATGGCGGGCAGCTGGAGAAAAAAAAAAGGATGCCCGGGGCGGGCGGGCGGGGGGGGGG